GGTTTTTCGGGATAGCAAGGGCTGAGTTGGGGCAGCCAGTGACAGCAGAAACCCCCATCTGTGGTAGCTGGTGACAGTTGGGACAGGGCTATCAGGCAGCCAGCTGCTCTCCTTCTGTCTTAGGGGCTGGGAGTGGTATGCAGAGCACTGGGGGTGTGGGGGTTGCTGTATGTCACACCTTAAAAATTCCTTGTAGTACAAGTTCTGCACACTTTCCTTATATTTTTCTGTTAAGTCTGTCTCTCAGCTGGGATCTGAACCTACATTTTCCAGTTCTCCACTTTTGGTTCTCTGTTGCTTTCTGATGCATATGTTTCCTGGAATATGTTTGGGGTCCTAAATGACTCTTGCATAAATAGAGAAGGAGCCAACAGATTTTTTTTGTGAAGCATCCTTCTTTCCTTCCTTTTCCCCCTATAGAATGTCTAGACCTGTTTCTCTGCTGTAGATGAACTTTAAAAAGGTAGTAATTTAAAATTTTCTTTAATAGGCTGTTGAAAATCCCACACCTACAGAAATCCAAGATGTGTGTGCAGCAGTGGGACTCAATGTACTTGTAGAGGTAATGTAAAAGTTTTGGTTTTTTTAGTTAGTCTCCATAAAGACTATTTCCATGATAGTTGCATTTAAAAACTGAAGAAAACCTCCTTAGGAAAGTCACATAAACAAACATAATTCTGTGCAAGTGAATTTCAGGGTTGCTGGTTATCACATTTACCCAAAGAACCTTGTCTGCTTAAGTGAACTTAACACTTTTATATGGATGTTACAATATTGGAGAGACTGCAGGAAGGAACCATAAAAATAACTTTAGATGATAGAAAAACGTATAGTGAGAGCCTTAATGAACTGTAGTTTAGTTTAGTTTAGTTTATCAGAAAAGCAATGACTTGACTTGATTAGGGTTTGTAATTACTTTCATAGGGAGACTATACAAAGTATTCCAGGCTTTTCAGTGTCAGAAGGCCATAGTAAGAACCAGTGGCTAGAAGTGAATTCAGACAGTTTCAGGTTAGGAATAAGGGACAGTCTTTTGTTCTGATTTGTCTTTATAAACAGTGAGGGGGATCAACCACTGGAACAAGCTGCAAATAGTAGTGGTGACTTCTATCTCTACCATCAGAGCATATCCGGATCCTAGAAAATACAGGAAACCCTTGCTATCCACGGGTTTGGCATTCAGTTTCAAATATTCATGAATGCTGACCCAGCATCTTAAATGCACTTAAAGGAGCTCCTTGGGAGCTCCATGCTTGCTGCCATATTGGTTGCTGTAATAATTTTAAGATGGAGCTCTATGAATAATTGATTCTTCTGGTTTGCTGGCAGTTCCAAAATAGTTTGAGTTCAAATCAATTAAATGTCTTTTGTCTTTACTTTCATTTCATTACAAAATTATGAATGCCTTAAACTTCAGAACCAAAAAAATTTAAATTGAAAAATCAAAATATGTTGTAATGATAATAGTGCAGTATTTTTGTTTTTCCCCAGAATGTTTTTGTTTTTTATGAAGACTCATCAAACTTTACAATGGTTTGTTGTCTTGTTCTGAAGTATTTCTGATGAGCTGAATATGAAGTTTTGGTGGAAAAAAGACTGGGGAATTTCTTACTTTCAAGTACCTCTGTTTTATTGTATCTACTTTCCTGACTTGGTCTCCATAAGCTGCTGGCAGTTACTAATGGGTTATGAAAACCCATACATCGGCATCAAGGGTTGGCAAACTACAGCCCACAGGCTGGATAGGGCCCACAGATGGAATTGGATCCAGCCCAAAAAGATTTGGTCTGATCTGCATTTTACTAGAGGAAGACTAGTTCCCATCCATTTGATCCTGTTCATATTTTGCTAATAGCATGATTATCTCTGCTGATCTGCCAGATGCTCCAGGAGAGCTGCTTTTCTTCACTGCAGCTTCTACTCCCCATCTATGGAGCTGGAGTTGCCCAAGGGGATTAGTGACCCCTAACACTACCTAGTCACAAGCAGCAGTTTCTGTTAGTACAACGTTATTGACCCCTGCTCTATGCTGCTGTGACCCCTAGTAGGTGTAGATGTTCTGCAGTGGCCACTCATTTATGGAAACATTAATGTTCTAACTTAAGCTTGTATTCTTTTACTGCCCTTCCTGATGAATTACTTTATCTTGTCTTCAAATCTGTATTTGAAACCATTTATTTTCATATGCTAGAAAAATAAGATGTACCCCAGAGAATGGAACCGTGATGCCCAGTTTAGAGGCCGAGTAAGAGTTCAACTGAAACAGGAGGATGGCAACCCATGTTTACCTCAGTTTCCATCACGTGAGTAGACTTCTTGGGGTTGGGTGTTGTGGGGACTTTCAGGTAACTAGTCACCGTTGGACAACTACCTATTTAAAGTAGGCTGGATCAATTTTCCCTTCACTTATGACCAATTTATTAAAATACATATGGAGTACTTTGTCATTATTTACTTTCAATCTAGCCATGAAAATGCTTAGCTAGTATAAGCCAAAATAAATTTGTAGCCAAACAGACTGAGCAAATTGGCATATACGAAGTGGTTGTAGAGTGCTGTATTATCATTATTTCTCCTTTTTTCAGTTCTCAGTTTCATAATTGTGAAGTAAAGTTTGGGTCTTTGGGGTGACCACTATTCCCAAAACACTGTTTTAGGAGGTACTCCTTAAGCCAGAAGAACTGCTTTTCTTCAAAACTGATTTCCCCTTTTGGCTTGTGTTGCCACACTTCAGTTACATTTCGATCAGTTTATCAGTTGCTATGTCATTCATTAGCATACAAACCAATTTTGTACTTAATGCTCATTGAAAATACTAACCCCCCACCACAAAACTCTGAATGGCATTTGCTAAAGAAGCCTTGCTAATTAAAGTAATAAAGCAGCAGCATTACATTGTTTTATCTGCTTGGAAAGGGATGGGGGTAAAACTTAACTTAAAGTGGGAGAGTCAGTATTAAAAACTAGAATTTTGTTGGTGGATTCATTGTAGCCCTGGGTTGAGAGGAAGAAAACCATGGAATCTGCTGCTGGGTGCAAATAATTGGGACACAGTACTGGCCCCCAGGAAGGTGTCTACAGCAAGTTCTGGTTCTCTGTTCAGGTCCAGCCAACTATATTTATAAGGATAGAGTGCTTATATTGAGTGAAGAATGAAACAGTCTCTTGGAGTCTTTAGCCTCTCCTGTGTGCTGGTAACCGGTGTGGGAAAATGTCAGAGCATCTCACCTTCCAGTGGCTGTGCAAGCTAGATCTTCATTTGGATTATAGTACAACTCCTTAAGTAGACTCCAGATGGTTATGACTAAGTTTCTTCTGAATTTCTTGGTGCCAATGATTTTCTAGTAATGTTCCAATCCAAAAAATGCTGCATACCAAGCACAGAATACCCTTTTACCAGTTTCCCCAGCACAGAGAAAAGAAGCAGAGTCTTGGACTTCATATGCATTTTGACACAGCCCTGATATTAGCTATGCTGATTTTTAAAGTGATAGTTATTACTAATGTAGAGAGCATATATATTTGTGTAATGTTTATCTTTCTCCCCTCTCCCTAGGTAAGTCAGTAATGCTGTACGCAGCAGAAACAATTCCCAAACTGAAAACAAGGACACAAAAAATGGGAGGGAGTGACCAAAGTCTCCAGCAAGGAGAGGGAGGCAAGAAAGGCAAAGGGAAGAAGAAGAAATGAGCCTGTGACTGGCTTGCATGTACTTTGTATAAACATAATTATGCCTAATTTGGATGGACATGTTAACAATTGTGACTCTGAAGTGAAAGATGCAGAGAAGAAATGAGAATTGGTGAAGCTGTACAGAGTTGTCTTTTTTTACTGAACTGGAATGCATGTAACTGTACTTCACATTGTGTAACAGTAGATCCATATGTATTCAGACACAACCCCTCAAACTCCAAAGTTAAGTACCCTTCAGACCTAGAAATTAAAGAGAACCAAGACAAATTAAGGAGGAGGCAGGAGAGGGGTGAAGAAACATGAAGCTGTGTGCTGCTTTTAAAATATCCAGCTTGGTTTTTTTTTTCTTGAAGCCAGTTGCCTTAGTACACCATTTACTCTTCTGATAAAGAGATTTGTCTTGATTCTGGAGTTTGTATGTCACTATAGTTGGAAAATTTATGATGAATGAAGTAATCATTATTTTGTACATCTCACTTCTATCTTTCACAAATGTTAAATATAATAAAAGTGGCAAAAGTAGTTCTCAAATTCTACTTGCTTTTACAAAAATTGTTGTGGTCACAGTAGCATTATTCCTTAAGATGATCACAAAAACTTTTTATGTTTTGTTTTGTTTTTTAATCTTTTTAAAAGCTTGTGGCTGTTATCTGCATTCTGTGAAATACTGATAAACTGTTAGGTGTATACAGAATTCAGCATTCTTTCTCCACTAAAAATGGTCTTGCTTTATAATAAATCGAACCCAAATTTTGGGGGTACTAACTGCTAACTTCGTAAAACACAAATGTTCTGTCACGTTTTGCAGAACCATGTAACTTGCTTATGAAGGGAAAGATCAGTCATTCAATACAGAAGACTCAGCCAATCTGGACGTCTGTCAGCCACAGGGATTGGGATAGAAAAGAGAATCTCTTAAAAGAAAAGGCTGTAGAAAGCATACGTTGTTCTTTGCAAGTTGCAGGAGAAAGAATAGGAATGCAAAGGAAGAATGATTGGAAAATCAAACAGACTTTTGAAGAGAAAAAAAATTAAGGTAGGTTTTTTCTGATGAAGAGATCAGCTCCTTTTCTCCTAATATCACTTTTTCAGCAAAATACATTTAATGTTTAATTATTCATATTACCAAATATTGGAAACATCTTCAGTCTTTCTTGTAGCATTCTGGTGAGGCAGATTTTCCAAGTAGTATGATATTTTTCTTTATACTTTCTTAATGTTTTCCTTGACCCACTTGAATCATTTCAGTCTTCTACAAACATGGTCTCTAACAACATCCCAAATCTCAGCACTGGGAGACTAGATAGCATGTGATGCAGAAAACTATTTGAAAGACAAAAACCTATTTCATCCTCTCTTGCCAGTCTCTCTTATGTATGTCAGAGTTCTGACCAAAAAAAAAGTAACAGCATCATATATATTGCATGAACTTATGTTTGTGACAGCTTGTGCATCAAATTATGTATCTTATTTAGTCTATAACGATGCATATGTACCCTGCTTTCTGCCAGGCTATTTTTAACAGCTTATTGGTGCAACTATTTGTACATCTTCATCTTACAAGGCAATTTGACTTGGTACTACATGTTCCACTGTATTGGCAAAAAAGTTTATGGGAGAAGAGGAAGGGAGAAACTTAAAAGTAACCTCAAAGCTTTTATTGTTTAAAAATCTAGTTTTAGTTATGCAAGGTTTTGGGCAGGTTTTGTTTCGTGCTGCAAGGGTGGAGTTGTTTTGTTTTTGGGTTCTTTTGGTCTTTTTTGTTTGTTTTTTACCAGTTGACTAAAGGTTGTATGATTCTGCTTTGAGGGACTATTGCCACCTTTAAGCCAAAGTATGATATGCAGAGAGGGATGGTGTAAAGAAGAAAATGGTCTGTGCCACGTGATTTTTGTGGTGACTATGAATAACTTTCAGATGCTTGGAGTGCTGATAATTCTGACTGAGGTGGGATAACTAGGTGATGCCCATAAATTTGAGTTGCTCTCCTATGGATTTTTTTAAATCGGTGTCTTTCAGTCTGGCTATTGTGCAGATTCCAAGCTTGGGTAGGAGGAATGACAACAAGTCTCATTTTTGTGATATAAAGAATAGGTGCAAATAAATTGAAGAAGATGCTTTTCATCTCTTAATTTAATGCATGATAAAATGGGTGCAAGTGTCTGTTTTCTGGCTTATGCAAAATGTTAGTGTCTTGCACATTTAGAGGGTATCCTGGATCTTACAAAATTCCTGACATTAAAAAGTGATCTGGAAATTACGTTTTATGATAGATTCTGATATTCTGAATTTGGGAAAGTAGATATCTTGAATAGTATACATGGAATGCAGTCAGCACTTCTTTCTATTTAGGTAGCATCTGAAATTCAATTGGCCATTAAGGACCATATCTAAGAAAGGACCCTGTTGCCTAAAGTGCTGTTTAGGTGGAATTTAGTTACCTAAGACCAAGAGCAATTCACTTAAAAAAAATCCACCCAAACTGAAAGTCCTTAGGTACCAAAGGAATTCTTACTGGTGGAAACCTTGTCCACCTAGTGCCTCAAATTTGGCTACTACACGTACCTATAACATTTGTCATCTTGGCTGAGCTGAGTGCTTAGCTATTTATATTTACAGTTGTTTGGGATTTACAAACAAAGTTCCTGAGGGGTAATATCTAGTGGTGTATTCAGTCCACACCTAACGTACTGATAGCATTCAACTTGGCCGCTTTTAATCAAAAACATGCTGACAGTGGTGTTCACCTAACGATTAGAACAGTTGCACAGGAATTTGGAGACTTGAAATTTAAACTGCATCTAACCACCATGCTAGAGGCAACACAACTGTTAGCAGCCCTATCTTAAAGAAAAATAGTCATCTGCACATAAAGGGATAATCTGGCATGTGAATTTAAGTGCAAGTTTTGGCTTTGAACCCTAGTTTCATGTAGACAGCTAATTTAGAGCTGCAGATAGGCATCTACGTGGAATCTGTGCCCAGGTGCACTTAGGTGGGAGTTCAGTCACACACACCCTTTTAGCATTTCCTGGGCGCATCTACACATTCACTAATGCATCATAGTTACTGTGCATTAAGTTTAGTACTTGGTTAACCAAGTACTAAATCAATGCACAGTAACACATGCTACTGTGCAGTAGCACTGGCACATAGCTATTTAGTGACGCTTACTATGCAGTAGCCTAATACTGCTGCACAGAAGCATGTTAGCACAGTTTTTGCCCAACAAGCTACTGCACAGTGTTATTAGGCTACTGTGTGGTGGTGATTTCATGTAAATGTGCCCCCTGTGGGCTGGCCTAGCCTTGGTCCCCATGCTCAGTGGCTTAAGTGTTGTGAATCCCAATCCCAGACACCTAACACTCCCCATTTAAAGTATAGAAAACCTAAGCACCTCACTATGGTTAGTAAATTTTTCTCCTAGAGCCAAACAACTGACATGTTTAGGTGTGACATACTCAGTATTGTCATTGTTAAGTTTCTTTTGGATCTAAGCTCAAGTAGCTATTGTTCCCCAGAAAAAAGGTGTGGGGGGTAAAATACAAGTTAAACATTCTCAGAATCATAAAGGTCTTATTTGAAAGATCCCTGTAAATAATAGCTTTTATTTTACCCATTTTTTGTTTCTCTTCTGCATTTCATTTGTTGTGATAATTCGACTATTTTATGTGCAGGTGGTATGGTATGTACTGTTATTTCTGGAAGTCAGTGGATGCATCTAAGTAACAGCCAGTGTGGACTGTATCCCTCCACTTGGAAATTAAGGTCTTTCTTGATTATAATACATCATAATGATTTTGATTTTTTTTTCTCACAGTTGCAACTACAATGAGAGTATGAATGTTGTAATACATGTAGTTATGTTAAAAAGAAGTGCATGTTCATCCTATGGTTATGTATAATCAAAAGCTCATTGGGTAAGAAGTAAAATCTAGTAGTCAGTAGTGCTTGGAGTTTGGCCTTGGGCAGGGGAGTGGGGCAAGAACTTGCAGGATTATGTGCAGTGGAATGGCCTGGAAGCCCCAGAAACAGAATTTTATGTTCTGTTTTTAAATGGATTTAGATGTGCCTTTATATTGGTTATATATATAATAATATGTGAATTTCTTTTGGAGATTCTCTTTCCTGTTAAGCATGCGAGAGGCAAGGATTTGTTAGGCTAAAACATCACTCTTACACTACTCTTAAACATAAACAGATTGATTAACATCTTGGCTACTCTGCCCCCCTGCTCCATTGGCTTGAGTGTTGTGAATCTTAATCCTAGGCATCCAATTCTTATCTTTGAAAGTACTGAAAACACAAGCACCTTAAGAAGCTTTATATGGCATTTCAACAGCACTCTCTCATTAACATATTTTTTAAATGGACTGCTTTAGACCAATAATACCCAATATTTTTAAGCACAGAGTATTTTACTCCTGATTTTTTTAAATATGATCATGGTAAAGTATTAGAAATTGTATTCATAGTAAAACCAAACAAATTTTAGAGTGCTAATAGGATGGTTCTAAGATGTGGTAGGAAATAATTTAAAAATACATCTATGACAACACTAGTCAACATGGGGTGTTTAGTTTTATAAACTGCTTTTATAGGTTTGTCCATTAAATAGTATGTGAGGATTTTTTTTTTAAGTATTTAAAATTTAAATTTTTCAGGTGCTTTTCGTAGAGGGCCTATTCGGCAAAGCAGAATATGCAAATATACATAGTTAGCAAATTTAAAAAGTAAAGAATCAAAGGGTTTATAGTTTCATAGTTGGCAGGGTCAGAAGGGACCTGAGCAGATCATCTAGTCCAACCCCCCTGCCATGGCAGGAAAGAGTACCGGGGTCAAACGACCCCAGCAAGGTGTTCATCTAACCTCCTCTTAAAAACCCCCAGTTTGCAACTGTTTGGTTAGTATAATACATTTAACTAGGCCAGGTTGAAAAGTTTTGGACAGAAGTGTGATGTTTGTTTGTTTGTTTTTTAATTTTTTTTTAAGAGAAGTTCCCCCATAATAATTGGAAGCCTGAATTTAGGCACTGAGCAAACATGAGTTTGAAAAAAAATTAAGGCAAAAAAAATGAACAATTGCTTAAAAATGAAAGCTTAGCAATATGTTAAACTGTAAAAATAGATGTCTTGTTTACTTGTTTCGGATGTTTGAAGCCAGCAGTTGCTATAGTAGAAATGCAAACCCCTACATCCACCCAATGCTTGACAAAGTGAATGAGTGAGTATCAAATACTTTAAAATGTATTGAGAAATAGTATTTAAAATATTATTGCATACAGTTCTCCTTCCATATCCATAATCTTCATGTCACAGGAGATGACCATTAGGAAAACAACTCTTTGAGTACATGTCTGTGGCTGAATAGACATTCAGCTCCTGGTGCATACACATTTTATTAACTCATGATTAGTTTTTTGGCCAGGTTAGCAACCTGTTAACCCTGACTTTTGATATGGAACATTTTTACTTGTCTTCATCTAACCCACAGAGAAGTGCACAGGATCACAGATGTTTTCCCATAGGTAAACATATGAGTGTATCGTCCAATCAGCACAAACTGCAAGATGGCGCTAATATCTGTGTCTTGCAGCACTTATGCTCTTATCTACTGGCTTTCCACAGTTTAGCGTTGGCTAGTTACAGGATTAGTTGAACTGGACCCTCTACAAAGCCTTCTGGAAAAGTATTAGGAAGTTAGAAAAAATTGTTTACAGATTTTTTTTTGCCTATTCCATGAGAACCTTCAGACCCTGGTGCCTCTGGACAGATTCCATCTAGAAATGTTCTTGGCAACCCCTGATCCCTGCCATCCCAGCCTCCCACTTTTGTCTCTGGTAGGCCAACTAGACTGTAGTTGCTAGAAACTTAGAGCATTGTTCAGGGACAGTGAGAGGTAGACCTGTACAAATCTTGCTAAGAAAAGCTCTAATTCCCCTCACTATTTTCATGCTAGTGGAACTCTAAACTCAGTACAGTTACTGCAGGTACTGTGAGGGATTGTGCTACTCAGGCTTCAGTACTGCATCAGCATGTAAAATCCACTTCTGCTTGGGTACCAGCTCTTTCAAAGCTGATCTTGGAAACTCCGGCTTTTCCAGAGCCAGTAGCATCTTGCATGCTTTCTGCTGATGGTGAAAACATTTAATTTGATACTAAATATATTTGGTACGTTTAATCATTACCAGCTACATCAATGCTGTCAACCCTTTATTTTCCTCTCGAGATCTCATCTTTATGGCACCATGTCATTGAGAACTGGCAAAATATGCAGTCCCAGGAGACTTGATTCTTTCCAAATTTTCCCCTCTCATCTGTTCTTTTAATATCACATTGTTGTACTAGGTACTTCTTAGGTTTTACTGCCTTTAGACTCAGTGCATCCTGCTCACCATGACTTAAGATGCATCTTGTTTGTCTTCATGTGACCCAGAGAGGAGTAGATAAGGAGACTTACGTTTTGCCAAAGGTATCTTTTCATGGCTTTTATGGATCAGAGAGAGATTTTAGAGTAGGGATTCTCAACCAGGACCCTGGGGGCCTTGAGATGCTTTCAAGGGTATTCAAGGTGCTAAGCAATGTTGGCACTGTTAGTGGTATAAAGTAGAGATTTTAAATAGGAATTCATAGTGTTAAACATTCTGACCTGTTGTGTTCTTTTTGAGTTCTTTGCAACAGAAAAATTGGTCTGTTATTTTTTGTAATAAAAAAAAAACTAGAGAAAGTTAGGAGCTGATATTTTCTGAGGGATGCCTTGAGTCTAATGGGTAGGGACCTACTGAAATCACAGTTTTGTGATTTTCACAGAAACCACAAAATTTGTAGGTCCCCTGTGGAAAAGTGTAGGGACTACAAAAAACAACAAAAATGGCCAACAATCTGGTGGGAGTAGGGGGAGGGAACTGCAAATGGAAAATAACAGGAAGCCCAGGTATCCTGAAGCATGGGGGGGCAGGGGGGTGAGATTTTTGTGTAAGGGTCCATTCTCTGCCCCCCCATCCTCCCATCTCCACCCATGCCTTTGAGTGGCCATCTGTCAATCTCCAGGGAGGGGCAGGACTTCCAGGGCCCCGTATCCAATCAAAGGCATGGCAGGGGGGCAC